ATATATATATAGGTCTTTGGTTGTTCGGGTTTTCTCCCGCATTTTTTAACTGCAGTTAAAAAATGTCAAGGTGTAATCAATTAGACATCTGTCTGAAAAACTTCCTGCATATACTCCCTTGACTCAGCTGGTAAAGAGGGAGGAGAGCCTGTGGCTTGGTGGTTAAATCACTGCCTAGTATGTAAACTGCCCAGGTTCGAATCCCATAAAGGGTGTGGCTAACTGAAGAGAGCAGAATGAGCTCGAAATGGCCATCTTAGTCTCCCAATTTAATTCTTTAATTCTTTGTCAGAAAAAGAAATTTGGATTTGTAATGTTTCGCAGTTGCGACTTGAGCCTGCTTAATGCCCCTAGTTGGGGGCTGCAAGGCAAAAGAGATTGTAAAAAGTAAAACTGCAGTATAGCAGTTAAAAAAATGTCAAGGTGTAATCAATTAGACATCTGTCTGAAAAACTTCCTGCATATATATATGTGTGTGTGTGTGTGTGTGTGTGTGTGTGTGTGTGTGTATGTATATGTATATGTATATATATATTCATTAATAACATACAGTGCAGATAAATCTTACACAGCCGCATCAACAGCATGCATTTTTAATCATTCCATTTCTACCTGGTCATTGCTGCTAGGAACTCCTGATGGAATATACACAGGATTTGCTGTCTCCTTCTTCCCACACCTATTGTAACAATTCTGTGAGGTAGATCAATAGGAGAGATTGATTGCCTCGAATACAGAATAACAAGAGTTGGAAGGGACCCTGGAGGTCTTCTAGTCTAACCCCCTGCTCAAGTAAGAGACCCTTATCCCATTCCAGACAAGTGGCTATTCAGTCTCTTCTTAAAATTCAGTCTCTTCTTAAAATGTCCAGTTTAATGAAGAGAAGGACGAGGGGGTACAGGATAGCAGTCTTCCAATATCTCAGGGGCTGCCCCAAAGAAGAGGGAGTCAAGCTATTCTCCAAAGCATCCGAAGACAGGACAAGAAGCAACAGATGGAAACTAATCAAGGAGAGAAGCAACCTAGAACTAAGGAGAAACTTCCTGACAGTTAGAACAATTAGCCAGTGGAACAACCTGCCTCCAAAAGCTGTGGGTGCTCCAACACTGGAAGTTTTTAAGAAGAGACTGGACAGCCATTTGTCTGAAATGGGATAGGGTTTCCTGCCTGAGCAGGAGGTTGGACTAGATGTCGTCCAAGGTCCCTTCCAACTTAATAATAATAATAATAATAATAATAATAATAATAATAATAATAATAATACCTTGACGTGGTTGTGGGGCTTGTGTACTCTGAGGAAGATGAGAGCTATGCCAGAGGTTCAACCATACTGGACAGGTCTCATCAGAGGAGTCAGACAAAGAGTGTCTCTCCCATAAAAAATATGGTGAGACGTAAATTTCAGAATGCCATACCGGCTCGGACGTCGCCCGGGTTAACAAGGTCCGCACTAGATATTGGAGTTCCTGGATATCTGGTGAAAAATGGGTTACAGGACTCAGGACTGTTGGCTGAGCAACCAGGGCCAGCAGCTGCAGAACTACTGGAAGAAAAGGTGTTTACCCGTCGCAGATACACAGTGATGGAAAACAAAGAAATAATGATCTGTTACTACAGATCAAGTCCAACAAGAAGAGGATATCTAAAACGAATGCACCAGTTCTGGAAAGAACAACATCCAGAATCAGAAATAACAGAACAGAGACTAGCAGATCAACGCCGATTTATAACACGAAATAAAGTATTCACAGAAACAGAATTGGACGAACTGCAAAGGTTTACCCAGGGCAAAGAAATCAAAGCCTTACCAGAAGTAATTCAGAATGTAGAGGCAAACCAGGGGGAGTTGGCAGTGAAGGAATCCAGCAGAGATATACAACTGTTCTCATTTGGAAACCAGGCACTCTTCCTCAGGAAGAACAAAACCCTCTAACTAAAGAAATAAAAGAATTGAAACAAAGAATAACTGAGCATCTAGAACAGCACAAAAACAACAGAATAAGGCTACCTGCATTGAAGCTTGTTCCAAAGAAACAGCTAGCACAAGCATTAAAAGATGCAAATATTGCAATATCAAGTATAAGCACCAATTCATTGCAAGAAACAAACCAACTAATGTACAGCACAGCTGCAGTTATAACAGAATACCTGGGATGCAAAATCAACAAAGAAGAAAAACAAACAAACAGTGCACCAGAAAAATGGAAGGTTAGACTAGAAAATAAGATCAGCAAGTTAAGATCACATGCAAGCAAGCTAGAACAGATGAAAGAAAAGAAGCTGAAGAACAAGAAGACCAAAGAATACCTAATCAAGAAATACCACTTAGAAACAAGGAAGATCAAGGAAGCACTGGAAATAATAAAGCAACAAATAACAGCTATAGCCAGGAAAATCAGTAGATATGAAGCTCGAATTGCAAACTATAGGCAGAACCTCCAATTTCAATCCAATCAGAAACGTTTCTACCAATCCATCAATGGAGAAACTGCAAGGAATCAGTCAGTACCTGACAAGGAAGAAACAGTGCAGTTCTGGAAGCAGATATGGGATAACCCAAAGAAATACAACAAGGATGCGGCTTGGTTAAAAGAGGTGGATGCAAATAAAACAGAAGTTGAAATGAAAGAACTAGTAATAACAACAAAAATGGTAGAAAAAAGAGCAAAGAAAATCAAAAATTGGTCAGCACCAGGTGAAGATGAACTGCATGGGTTTTGGTTGAAACATCTAACTGTTATACACCCACTCATTGCCAAGCAGTTCAACAATATACTACAAGGAGGAGAAATTGAAAAGTGGCTAACAACTGGGAAAACCTACCTAATAATGAAAAATCCAGCAAAAGGGGCTACACCAGGAACTAGCAACAATTACCTGCTTAGAACACCTCAAATTAGAACAATTGTATAGTGAACAAGTGCACCCATCTAGTGAAACAATCTCTTTCCACCTGAGCAGAAAGAAACCGCCCCAACAGCAGAGGAACAAAAGATAAGACTCCTAATAGACAAAATGATCTTGGAAAACTGCAAGAGAAGGAAGACCAACCTGAATGTGGCATGGATTGACTACAAAAAGGCATTTGACTCTCTGCCACATGATTGGATAATAAAGTGCCTAGAAATAACAGGAGTCAGTAGAAACATCAGAAAATTTGTGCAAAGATGATGGCACAATGGAAGACACAGTTGCAGATCCCCAAGGAGATTCTTATCACCATTAGTTATTAGGCTCACATGGCTATCAAACATCCAAGCATCGACAGCTGTAAAAAAAACATCATCTGTAGAAGCTCAACTTGTCCAGCCACTTTGCTCTAAATTGTCCAAGGAAAAATGTGAAAACTGAAGGAATCAAGATGCGTTGTCTGGCATGAGGAATTCTAGTACAAATAGGTCTCTCAACCTTACATCGATCTTTCCAATTCAAGGCAAACACCTGGGGTCATTAGGTACACACTTGGACTGGACTCAAGCAGAACAACCAAGATGGATAAGACCATATGAATCATCATCCACCAGTGACCTTTATCTACCTAATAAGGGCCCTACAAGGTACATCAGATGGTTGCTCTTCATGGCTTTGGAAGAATATCTTTGTAAGAGGTGGGCCATTGTGAGGATGTTGCGTCACTGCAGAGATGCGTTAACCCTTGACTAACTGTCAAAAGGCCAAGACAGACAGTGGGGAAGCCCAAACTGAGGGCAATAACACAAGAGCCGAAGTGGCGCAGCAGTTAGAGTGCAGTACTGCAGACCACTTTAGCTGACTTTGTTCAGCAGGTCAGCGGTTCAAATCTCACCGGCTCATACAAAGGTAATAGTAATAGTAATAGTAGTAAAGTTGGAAGGGACCTTGGAGGTCATCTAGTCCAACCCCCTGCTCGGGCAGGAAACCCTACACCATTTCGGACAAATGGCTGTCCAGTCTCTTCTTAAAAACTTCCAGTGTTGGAGCATTTACTGCTTCTGGAGGCAAGCTGTTCCACTGATTAATTGTTCTCACTGTCAGGAAGTTTCTCCTTAGTTCTAGGTTGCTTCTCTCCTTGATGAGTTTCCACCCGTTGCTTCTTGTCCTGCCTTCCATCCTTTCGGGGTAGGTAAAATGAGGACCCAGATTGTTGGGGGCAATGTAAAATATATATATATACATTGCTTACTGGTGTACACCGCTTAGAGAGTGCTTGCACTTAAAGCGGTATATAAGTCTCATAAATAAATAAATATTATATATATATATATATATATATATATATATATATATATATATATATATATATATATATATATATGGCGCCCCCCCGTGAAATGGTCGTTCGACCCCAAATGGGGTCCCGACCCACAGGTTGAGAACCACTGCTTTAGAACATCATATCATAGGGCTGGAAGGGACCCTGGGGGTCATCTAGTCCAACCCCCTGCTCAGGCAGGAAACCCTATACCATTTCAGACAAATGGCTGTCCAGTCTCTTCTTAAAAACGTATAGGGTTTCCTGCCTGAGCAGGGGGTTGGACTAGATGACCTCCTAGGTCCCTTCCAACTTTTTTATTATTATTATTATTATTATTATTATTATTATTATTATTATTATTATTATGTCTCCAGAGCTGTTATATCATCTTCGTTGCTCTTCTCTGCACATTTACTAGGACCTCCGTGTGTGGTTTTTGTTTTTTTTTTTGCAGCCAAAGACTTTTTTCCTAAGTTTACTTCCCCTCGTAGCAAAACCTAGAAGGACGAGTCAAAAAGCTCGGCTTAGATTTCAAATACTTACTTTATTTGCAACTGCCAGAGGAAATAATCGGGATAGAGGGATGTCCCCCCCCAACAGGAACAAAGTGCATAAAAATTGAAAAGGGGGGAGAATTCATTCTTGGCATCGGTATCCGAGGACTCCCAAGAGCGAAAACAAATATCAACAACTGTTTTCTTCCAGAAGAGACAAACAGGGCCAAAATAAGTCCTTTCTCCAGACGATCTGTGGAGAAACATCCTGTTTGCACACTTACGCCCAGGTACCTTATGTGTCCCTGATAAATCTAAAAACCCAGTTTTTGGGGTGACGCGTTTCCAACTCCTCTGTGGGAAAGGAATTCCTTGTCAGGCTGATTCCCTCCAGAAGCACTGAGAGAGGGAACAAATTTAAGGAACCGGGTACATTTTCAATCCCGTTCAGGGAGACTGGAGAGAAACGGGAGTTGCTCCTTCTCAATGTCGCCCGGACACCCCGGCTGGGTCTAAGTTCGAACGTAGAGAGGATCAGGAGAAAGATGATCTTGCAGAATCAGTTGAAAAAGTAGACTGATCTCTTCACCTTTTTTAGTTGGAAGTCACCTGATGGGGAGAAAAGGAGAGACTGAGAAAAAATGAAGAAGGAATACCGGTTGGGAAAATCTAAGCCAACAAGAGTTCAAAGGGAATGGGATTGAGCCCTGGTGATGCAGTCTCAGCTCTGAGTCCAACAGGGACAAATATATATATATATATATATATATATATATATATATATATATTATATATATATATATATATATATATATATATATATATATATATAAAGTGACAGATTCTGGCAGTGAGCTACGGATTCTCTCTGCAGGTGGGTACATGTCTGCCAATGGAAGTACCACTGGGACCCCACAGGATATGCTTAGGAGGACACCAATATTGTCTTTCAAACAACAAGGCCCCCGTGGCTTGCTTTAATGCCACAGACTGGATTGGGTGAGATGGTATTCGGAATGCCCTGAGAAGCAATTTCCTTGCCAAAAGCAGGTTTGCAGCGAATGCAAACAAGTGATAAAAGCAGCATGGCATGGCCGGTTGATAAAACCGGTAAATCATATGGCATCAGGCCCAAACTGAAGGAGTTTGGTGCCCAGGTGAACTCAGATGCTTTGCTGAGATTAACTGCAACACAAGTGAAGGGTTGCGTAACGTTTTGGGGCACCGTTTCTCCTTCTGAAGGAGAAATATTGAGAAAAGAGTTTTATTCTGATTCCGGAGATTCTTAAAATAAATATGAAAATGGAGCCAGACTTATTTTTCTTAAGATTTGATGGGCAAAGAGCTTGAAAGAAAGTTTAGAACTGTTACTATAAATGAGAGCCAGTTGGGCCTAGTGGCTAAGATGATGGCCTAGAAACCAGGAGACGGGGAGTTCGAGTCCCACCTTAGGCATGAAAGCCGGCTGGGTGACTTTGGGCCAATCGCCAGGAGACTGTGACTTCTAATCCTGCTCTAGGCATGAAAGTCGGCTGGGTGACTTTGGGCCAATCGCCAGCAGATGGTGAGTTCGAGTCCCACCTTAGGCATAGAAAGCTGACTGGGTGACTTTGGGCTCAGAGGGTTGTTGTAGAGAAATGAGGAAGAGGAAGAAAGAAGGAATATTAGGTATGTTCGGGGCCTTAAGTTATTTGTAAAAATAATAAAGGTGATATATCTATGTCAGGGATAGGCGACCTTGGCTCTTTTATGACTCGTGGACTTCAACTCCCAGAATTCCTGAGCCAGCCATGCTGAGGGGAAAGGGAGAGGTTTCCAAACTGAGCCATGCTGGCTCAGGAATTCTGGGAGTTGAAGTCCAGAGTCATAAAAGAGCCAAGGTTGCCTACCCCCGACTCTAGTTTAATGAAGAGAAGGACAAGGGGTGACATAACAGTCTTCCAATATTTGAGGGGCTCTGACAAGGATGAGGGGGATCAAATTATGCACAGAAAAAATGGGCTAAGGCAGGGGTAGGCAACCTTGGCTCTTTTATGATTCGTGGACTTCAATTCCCAGAATTCCTGAGCCAGCCATGCTGAGGGGAAGGGAGAGGTTTCCAAGCTGAGCCATGCTGGCTCAGGAATTCTGGGAGTTGAAGTCCACGAGTCATAAAATAGCCAAGGTTGCCTACCCCTGCCCTAGGCCTAGGCCACTTTATGACTCGTGGACTTCAACTCCCAGAATTCCTTAGCCAGCATGGCTCAGCTTGGAAGCCTCTCCCTTTCCCCTCAGCATGGCTGGCTCAGGAATTCTGGGAGTTGAAGTCCACGAGTCATAAAAGAGCGGAGGTTGCCTACCCTCCCTGATCTATGTACATACACACACAATAAAAAATGAAATGAAATGTGGGAGGGTGAGCTGCTATGTAGACAAGTACGCTGCTGAGAAAATTTGCAGGCCCCTGTGCTGCTTTCCTCCTCCTTTCTCATTTGAGCCTTTTCCAGGGTCAGCACAGCAGAGTTGCCAATAAAGCAGCAACCTTGACACAGGTGTGGGAGCAGCAGACTGCGGGAGCCACATGTGGTTTGGAAGCGGTGCAGCCACCAGCAAACAGGAGAAAGCAACAAAGCGGTTTTCCTTCAATGGGAGTGAACGGTCCAGAAGGTACAGAGACGCAGGAAGGAAAAAGAGAAGTATAAAAAGCAGGAGGTGGAAGGTTACAAATACTCTGGAGGCCAGCCAGGAACAGAGAAGAGAGAAGCAGAGGAAATTCCAGAGAGAGAGGCCTGAAAGTGTTGGCCTGAAAGAAAGCACTGTTATGTACTAGCATTACTGTAGAGCAGGGGTGTCAAACTCAATTTCACTGAGGGCCACATCAGCATTGTGGTTGCCCTGGGGGGGGGTGGCCAGGGTGGGTGCAGCCTACTGGGTGGGCATGGAGTGGGTGCGGCCTACTGGGTGGGCATGGAGTGGGTGTGGCCTACTGGGTGGCCATGGCCAGCTCTACATCGTTCGCGTCAAGGGTGCCTGTGGGGGCCTGGGCAGGAGTGGGACAGATCTGAGGGTCTCTGGCAGGAGGGGGCGGGACCGGGGCAAGCGCCAAGACATGGTCCATTTCTTCATTCCTCACAAAGGGTGACCCCTCCCCAGCATGCACCCAGGGGGTGGGGCCAACATGGCAGGGGCTGGTTCCTCGCTGTTTCTGGACGGCCTTGTGGAGCTAAGACTGAATGCATTTCAGCATAGATGGCCACCACAAAATTGTACATTGGCTCCCGGCCAGCCTGGGCCAGGGCCAAGGCAGATGGGGCCATTCCCTCACTGTTTCCAGGATGGCTTCACAGGCCACATGAAACCACTTCGCAGGCTGCATCCGGCCCCCGGGCCTTGTGTTTGACATGTCTGCTGTAGAGTGTAGTATTGTAGTAGTAACTGAATAGTAATGGCGTATACTAAGTGTAATTGTTCTACTAATAGTAATTACAGGTAGTCCTTGACTTACGACTACAATTGAGCCCAAATTTTCTGTTGTTAAGTGAGACACTGGTTAAGTGAATTTTGCCCCGTTTTACAACCTTTCTTGCCCCAGTTATTAAGCGAGTCGCTGCAGTTGATAAGTTTGTCACCCGGTAGTTCAGGAAAGCCGGCTTCCCCATGGACTTTGCTGGTCAGAAGGCTGCAAAAGGGGATCACATGACCTTGGGACACCGCAGCGGTCAGAAATATGAGCCACGTGCCAAGCATCTGAATTTTGATCACATGACCATGCTGGAAAGGTCGTAACTGTGAAAAATGGCCGTAAGTCACTTTTTTCAGTGCCGTTGTAGCTTTGAGCAGTCAGTAAACAAACTTGTACGTCGAGGACTACCTACAGCTTAGAGCAGGGGTCTTCAAACTTGGCCCTGTCATGACTTGTGGACTTCAACTCCCAGAATTCCTCAGCCAGGCAGGCTGGCTAAGGAATTCTGGGAATTGAAGTCCACAAGTCATCAAAGGGCCAAGTTTGAAGACCCCTGGCTTAAGGCTATAGAAATAATAGCAATAGGATAAAATGTAGAATACAGGCACTCCTCGACTTACGACCACAACTGCGCCCAAAATTTATGTTGCTAAGCAAGACCGTCGTTAAGTGAGTTTTGCCCCATTTTACGACCTCCTTCCGATTAAACAGTGTCATCTATTGGGACCTCAGAAGCAGCCCCTGTCCTCTGAAGGGGATCCATTCTGTTGCTGTTCAGAAGAGCAAGAAGCCCTGACTAGGATCACCCAGGCCTTGGGTAAGGACAACTGACACCTCCTTTTACCTCAGGTTTTCTTTTACTTCTACCCAGTTTTGTCCTGCCCTCTCGATCCATTTTTGTTTCTCCTTTTTTGTTGTCGTGTTTTAAACAAGTTGGGCAGCATATCAATGTAAATAACCATCAAACAGCTGCAAACCACCTCTGTCTATCCCAGGTCGATAAGTAGATAACAGGCCGAATCCAGTCTGAACATCTGGTTGTGCAATCAATCATAATCTGCGTTCTATAAACCTACTTTTCTGTTGCTTAAATCGGGGGCCTCCCTCCTGGGCCACTTTTAAGACTTGTGGACTTCAACTCCCAGAATTCCTCAGCCAACCACGCTAAAACTGCTAGAACAGGGGTCTTCAAACTTGGCCACTTTTAAGACTTGTGGACTTCAACTCCCAGAATGCCTCAGCCAGCCACACTAGAACTGCTAGAACAGGAGTCTTCAAACTTGGCCACTTTTAAGACTTGTGGACTTCAACTCCCAGAATTCCGCAGCCAGCCCTGGCTGGCTGAGGCATTCTGGGAGTTGAAGTCCCCAAGTCTTAAAGTGGCCATGTTTGAAGACCCCTGTGCTAGAACTATGCAATCAATTCAGTCTTAACGCAGGTAAGAAGCCAATGGGCTTGGACCAGGGGTAGGCATCCTTGGCTCTTTTATGATTTGTGGACTTCAACTCCCAGAATTCTTCAGCCAGCAAGGCTCAGCTTGGAAACCTCTCCCTTTCCCCTCAGCATGGATAGCTCAGGAATTCTGGGAGTTGAAGTCCACGAGTCATAAAAGAGCCAAGGTTGCCTACCCCTGGCTTGGACCAAGGAATTTAGCAACAGGAGATAAGCCAATGACTCACTGCTCAATCACCAGGCTCAATCTTGCTATTGTACAGCGGTCAGGGGCATCATTCGAGTCACGCTTAACATTGGGGGGGGGCGTAAAAGGGGGGGGGAGACATGCATGTGAGCACAGCTGGTGATGGTGTCTATTCAGTGGCAAAGCTATTTTAGGCTTGCAGATACAGTTCTTACGCATTTCCCACTGAAAAACAATAAGCATATAGCGCCATCAATTTTCACCAATCTGGGCCACGACAGGACTTCAATCAGCTGCTTTTGACATCCCGGTGCCAGTCAAAAGGGAGTCAGATATTCTAACTCTGTCAACTCCCCAAATGAACGTTTGCAAAAGAAGTAACCAAGGCTCATCACATTTGCACGAATGGACGTCATTCCTGACATTCCTCAACTTACGACCACAACGGAGCCCAAAAATTCTTTTATTAAGTGAATTTGGCCTCCCTGTATGGCCTTTCTTGCCGTAACTGAATCACTGCACTTGTTA